CGATACGGATCGTTATTTAGCCGCCTTCAGGTAGAGGCATTATAAACACAGAATGTTACAGTGTAAATCAGTACTCTCGGGTAGCAACTTCACTATTAAAATTTTACCTCTGATAGCGCTAGTTGCCTCATAATTTCGTTGCAGGCAAACCTATCTCAATAGCAAGTACTTACGGTCTCCGGCGTTCTTCCGGAATAGTGTATAATGTATTTTTTGTGAATTTCGTAGGCAGTTAATTCAGGGTATCAATCATCATGAACCATAATCCTTACCCTCCTAACCTGTCGAGAACCTTAAAGAAAGCGCTTGGTGAATTCTTGATTGCAGTAGGGTTCACCGACTAGTTTCAGGGGCTTGCAGTCTCATCCCGGGAGAAGTCCCTCTGCGGCATATCCAGCAGGCTCACCATTCAAAGGGTGTATGCACACAAACACATGGATACATGAATCACGCATTATTGTTATGTATACATAGGACATACACTGATTTCGCCATAGAAAATTTACAAAATTTTCTTACTGCTCGTGATGGAGGCTTGAAACGAATCGCCCTCTTTTTTCACTTCAGCCGATATCACAAAACCTGACCTGATGTCATACGACCTGTTGGAGGACAACTTCTTTTCATTTTCCGTGGGACTGCAAAGTTTATACGTCTTTTTCTTACTGTAGATACTAAGCTCCCCAAACTGAGAACTACAGTTAATTTGTAAACGCAAGAATTTCAGAATTGTCCAAATTCCAGGTGAAGGAACAACGGTTATGTTATACTGGTCATATTTTATCCCACGACGTTTATATTCGACTTTGAGTTTCCGACGAAAGTCAGTGTGGATCACGGTGCTTTTCCAATGTTCTAAACGAAACAATGTACAGTGATTTCACAGATTTCGAAAAATTTAAGTATACTTAGCCCGATGACTTTGGCATGCTTTGCTGTTTCTCGCAGAGATATGCATTCAGCAGAGTTAAACAACGAACTATTGTACGGGAGTCGACTATGGAACGTGATTCGGAACGAGACATTTGTTCTATGACCAATGCGGCTAAAAGAGCAAACTTTCTAGGCCAATCATAAGGCGATTTGATGCTGAACTTTATTTTTACGAGAATATAACTTTTGGCATTTTTTATTGACTTCCACTGACGCCTGTGCAGAGCTTAAGCGAAATACGTATATAAGATCATCCTTACAGATCCTGTGTGACACGCTTGGAAGACATACGGAGCAGTCAAAGCCATTTCCCAAGATCGAATAAAATCTCCATCAGAGACAAGCTGCAGAATGAAAACAGAAGGTGTGCTGGTACGGAGGATGTCGTAATAGGTGTAAGATTAATTGCGCCAATGGGCAGGTCCCATCCCATGACTGACAGATGACCAGTGGATTTCAACTGTAACAGAAAGGTACCCAAGAGGCTGCAAGTGCCCAACTGGAACATCTCAGCTTACACTGGAGGATGGGCTAAAAGAAAGACATGAAAGCTTATGACGACAAATCGCGCGAAAGAGACCAGTGTTTGTATCGCGGCCGCTTAATGATGATCATCGTCGACACGAAGAAGGTTCAGTCAACTGTTGCCGTTGCTGCGTTAACATTTCGATAAACCCATCAACCCATTCAATGATAATAATGACAATATGAAAATAAACAAGTTTCTGATAGTCAGAGCCGGCAGTGTCAGACGAATATTTAGTGGTCTTGCAAAACCACTTAAGTACATGCCAAAACTAGTTGCTATTCATGATTTCTTTCAAACTGTTCAACGTACATTAGGAATTCTTCTTGTATTACTGAAACCCCAACAAGTGTTGTAAATTTTGTAAGGTGCGGTAAATCTATCCACGTGCGGTAATCCAAGCGAAGCCTTTCAATTCTTGGCCATCGTCGTTCAATAAGAACTAAAACCAATCCCAGGAACTACGAATTATCGAGCAATACGAAGGAATAGTATGGTCATGAACGGCAACTGATGCCTGTTCTCATGAGGATGGCCCTTATGGAGGTGATTCATGAACGCACTCTAGGAGGTCGCTACAAACGTTTTACCGATTTTCAGTAAACATGCTGCTGAAAGCCACATAGCATTACAACATACGGATCAGCCACATAACCAGATCTATTAGAAGCACTTGAACTGATTCATCCAGTGAAGAAAAATTTTCATTGCGCCAATTCGAAAACGCTTGGCACAGCAAAATCAATCGAATTTTAATGATGATGGTTTCCGTGTAATACACTTTAGGCGAAATCTTAGCCAAGTCCTAGTCCAAGTCTTAGTCAATCTTAGTCAAGTTTTTCCCACTAACTGACGTGTATTGTATAAAATGGTTTATTTGTAAAAGTTCTGTAATATTTTCGAGAAAATTCTTTGTGTATGATATGAGCGAAAAATAGCACCGGCAAAACTCTCTTTGGAGGAAATATGCTTGCGGTGTTGAAGTGTCAGTAAAATTGCCTTTCGGTTCTCAAGTGCTCTGCTTTCTCAAACTTTTAATATGAATCTCGTAACGTCGCGTATCGTATATTGTTAAACCGCACATCACATTGCCTGAAGATCAGTTAAATGAAATGCTGCTAGTAAGCCACAGAACGTTGTTTTACAGTATTTGAAAGTTACGAATCCTGCATTGTTCAATGACCCTTCTGCACATGATCAGCGCTTCTACTTTATAGGTGCGGATCTCAAAGGCGTTGGCTTCGACAACTCATGAGGATTAAGTAACCGGACAACGTCAGAAGTAATATATCCTGTCAACATTGTACAACGAGCTTAAGTATAACTTAAAGAGGAGCGAAAGACTGGCGATCACTGAAACTGCAGCAGCTATAAGACAAGTGCTTTGCTTTGCTATTTATTTGAATGAATTCGCAGTGACACAGCCAGTCAATTCATCAGTTGGAAGAAGACAGAGGCATCTGCAGTAGCCAGTTTCACTACACTGGTGAACGAATGGTTGAGTGCGTAGCGAGAGAGGTAGGGAATGAGTAAATGAATGAATGAAAGCAGGAAAACACGCGGTTTATTCATATACAACGCAAATAATGAGCACTCGGATGATTACGGGCGATTCAGACAACGTTTCACGGTAGCGAGATGGGTTAGCTTCTAAAGGGCTCTGTTAGTCGTTCGCACGTTCCGAGCCAGGAGGCCTTCCTGATTTTCGAAAGGCCGTTTCCCTACGACCTTCAGAGATCCAGTAATCAGCAATCAGCTTGAGCTACCTGGAATTTTGCGCCAGACAAGCACTTACTCGTTCGCGGGATAGGATTTGGCTCTCGAAAATTCCGCGACAGTTCAAATGCAGAGATTATATTTTGACAAGTTACAATGACAGCAATCAAATATTATTCCTGTTTAAAGCAGTATTACACTCGTCGCATCCATGTAAGTAGGCTTCTTTTATATGCCACCTGTCCGTGCTTGTAAAACATTATATATCGACTCATGGAAAGGATCCTTAACCACAACGAAAAAAATTTCAATGTGTAATTTTGAAAACAAACATTTATATTTGAAGCGCAGAGCAGTATGCAAACCATGCTTAAAAGCATGCTGATTTTATAGTCTTATTAATGCTTTAGTAATATACATTATAATATGCCATGCCATGTGAGCTAGAGTGAAAGAGCAAGCAAACTGAATTTGAATTTCGGATAAACGGGGCAAAGACAAAAATGATGAGAAACGAAATCGCACAACCAGTTACAGTGGTCACAAGGTACAAATCTGGTTTGGAGAGCTAATCTTGTCAGACCACTCTTCTGGGAGAGGAGTCATAGGGCGTGTAATACATAAGAAAAACTGACAATCCTGAAAACAGAACGTTGCAGTCAGAACCAAATTGTATGAAAGCACGGTATTGCTAATAGCTTAATATGGCTGCGATGCCTCTACATCGGGGAATTTTTTAACGTATTACCCCAAAATATATTTATTTACGCCAAAATTACCTTCTCCCCTTTGACTTGAAAGGGAGAAAATCATAGACTAATTAAATTCAAAAGGTTTATTGAATACATTTACATGGAGAATACAGTTATAAATATAAATTATAAAATAAATGCGATAAAGTAAATTAATATCCTCACCATGAAACAAAAGGATTTCTTTGAAAACTTTCAAGCCAGGTTTTAGAGAAACGATGTTATTTCATTTTTAATACAACATCAAAATTTGGGCATTTTGATGTCAGAGCAATTTGAATACTGGCCAAAAATTTCTCTAGCAACCGCTGATACCATTGGTTATATGCGAATCTGTGAACTCTGCCGGCGTTTTAAGTTTTTTAAAGTTCATTTAAATTTACAATAATATTATTGGTAAAAGTGGCACT